CGTCTAATGCTCCTATAGACTAATTAAAGACAACCAGTAATTCAATAAGATAATTCAATTGTTCCCAAGAAAGTAGATGATATATGACATCAATATATATTAAAACACAGATTGAACTGGAAACTGATGGACTGCAAAACATATTAATTATTTTTTAAAAAAGAAGGATATTTAATTCGTGATGTTGGGCAAGAGTATTCCAATGAAAAACCAGTTTTAAGTGCACACAAAACCCATCCCCTCGTTACGGAAACATCAAACTAGAAAAGTATTGAGGAAAAGGTATCATCTGATATGTCTCTGAGCCTTCGTTAATATTTAACATTTTTTCCCCATTAAAAAGTATTTCCTTATGTTGCAACAAAGGGACAATATTCAGGAAAATCCAATATAGTTTTCCTTGCAGACATATTTTAGGTTTCTTATTTGATTTTTATGTAAACTTTTCTCATCGGCAACATAAAAGCATGATAAAAACGAATGTATTAATATATCAAATAGATCTTGAGTTAGTATTGGGATAAATAGACAACCGCTATGAATAAATTAGTAAATTGACATATTAAAAATGATTGACAAAGAATCTACAAATGAAAGCGTGGATAATGCAAATGAGATGCTGTTTTAAATGTTATACTTTGACGTAAGGCAAAATCGTGAAAATACTGCAGGTCACAAATCAGACAAGACAAGATTTAGACATCCCATTTTAGCAATAAAGCGTATGATTAAAAAGTCTAAAAAGTATAAGTTTTGATAAGCAGCTTAAAAGACATAAAAAAACAACTCGCTTTTAAATGGTATCAAGCTGATGAAATGATTCAGCAACTAAAGTATTTCATGCTGTTGTTTTTTTATTACAACGCATGTCAATTTCATAAATAACAATCTTAGTTAACAGATTGAAATGAACTTTAAATTCTGAATTGATAACGCCGGTGAAAAGCCTAATAAAATGATATGTAGGTTAGTGTGGGAAAAGCTACCTGTTTGGATGTTTCAGAAAGTTATTTGTACATATATGGGTTACTTATAATAACTGTAACTAGTATTATAATATAAATAATAATGTCAAACTATTGTAGAGGATGAAAAGCATGTATTATTATATTGCCCTCTATACGATTCCATCGTAACGACTTGATTCGAGAACACAAATGCTAAACGATGGTTTTGATGCCCTCTCGACATGATAAAGTAGGGATATATTCTCTCCAGATGCAAGACATTGTATTTTAACTGCCCAAAACCTGTTTTAAACATATTTGAATAGAAAAAACTTAAATTTATACAGACTGACATTATTTTAAATTAATTTTATGTGTTCTTAGATATACATGACGATTTAGAAAATACCTTTTGCTAATAATCTTCTAAACCGGATTCTGATTAAATTAACCACAACATAATTTTCTATATAGAATTTTGGAAGTACTTTGCTACCTCAATATATTTTAAATTACATCAGTAGATTCATTTTATCATATGTTCTAACTCTGGTTTAAATTAGCAAGGGTATTTTAGATTTTTAGAATTTTATATGTAAATAGTAAGTCAACCTTTAGTCTCTTGTAAATCTTATAGATTGGCAATGTGCATTTATATTGTATTTTATATGTATTTTAACTGTGTACATTGATGAGACTGTAATAAACTAATAAATAAATATAATTTACTGTATAGATCTGCTCTTGTTTCAAATTTTCACCATTATTATGTTAACTAACGCTTTTTTTCAATTTTGCCGTTTTCGGCATTTTAAGGGATTCTCGGCAGCAAATTATATTTTTAGTATATTATGTTTCCTGTTTAATATTTTGCTGTCTCATATATTATACCATAACAATTTTACTATTGCAAATTGATCAAACAGCATCATAGCTGTAAATGTTTGCTATATATAATTTGAATTCGTCTGTTTAATATTCTGTATTATTTGTTATATAGTGCTAAAACTCTGTGGATAAATGTGGATAAAGTTAATACGAAAATTAATTAATAAATTTAAAAGAAACTCTTGTGAGACAACCATTCTCAGAAGTGCTTATTAGCCTTGAACTTTTGAAAGCATCCATTAAATGTCGCTGCGATAGATTTGTAAAAGCTTAATGTAGTCTTTTATTTGGTTTTGCTTTGTAATGATGATGGAATGTTAGTAATATTACATTTATAAATCATACAGTGTTCCCTTTTACCAATTCAATCCTATTACAGTTGCAGTAATAGTACATATATATTTTTACTCGTATTTCGCTGCTTTTAAATCAGTCACTTTTTGTTTGAAATTTACATTGCAATAAAAAGTGGGTAAGTCGGTAGGTTTCCAGACTAATAAAACATATTCATGACTATGCAAATTCTACGGAAATATATTACATATGTTGCATTACCATGTACTTTTGAATTTTGAATCAGTGGTAAATCATGTTTTCTTATTATTGAAATTTTCGTAATACTAACTGTTGCAAACGCACTTATATGTATGATACATATATAACATTACTACGTTGTATATAAGACTTTTTTTATTTAAGACTGATTAATAAATTTATATATTTTAGCGTGTGGGGGTTGAAAAATAAAACATGACACTCAAAATGATTAGAACATCCGTGCACAGCATTGCAAAGCAAGAGCTTATATTACCATTTAAGTTGTAAAATAAAATTAGAATGAAACTGGAGGTATGCTGCTTTAATACTGGAGTCGCCATAAGACCAATACTGGGTTTGTGCCACGTTAAACCCAAGAAACAACAAAAAAAAACGGGAGGATAATTCTTGGTTGACTTAAATACAATATTTGACATGCCTTAGCTAAATAGTTAAATTATTTCTTTTTCTATATACAAGCTCAAAGCATTGGTTAAAATAGCATAAAAATATGTAAATTGAAAACCTGCTACAGTAAAATAACTGTAACAGGTGCATACTGCAATTAAGATTTGTCGAGAGATAAAATATATATCTCATTAGTTTCTAGGCAAGGAAGAGATAGCAGGTGTTTAAAATACTAGTTATGAAACAAAATAACTACCAGATAATAGAAAAAACAATTAAGATTCGTGGATAACGCGTCGGACTTGTAAGCCGCGTGGGTTCAAACCCGGTTAGGGACAAGACTCTGTTTCAATGAGTAAGAAAATTTACACTTATTGCCCAATGCTGGTTGATGCTAGGCCATGAACGGATTCGAGAGTTTGAAGTTATAAGTTATTTGTTACCTTCAAAATCAAACTAAAAAGAAACGTATAAACTTCATTTATGATTAACTATACATATATACATGTATGTATGTATGATATTCATAAAACAAAAACTGTTGTTGTTGTTGTTTAGAACAAAAGCAGACAATTCAAATGTTTCTTAATAACTATTGTACGCAAAAAAGCCGCAATAACACTTAAACTATCTGATAACAAATCTGCAGACATAGTTATTATGAAACTGTAAAAACGATTCTACATTGCCGCGGGAATCCAACAAAAAAATAATTCGCTTCTTGTGCGTCCATAAATTTTAAATAAGGCACCAGAAAAAGGTAGCTCATGTTTGATGCAGATAAATTTGGAAACAAAGTGGAACAAAGTGCATAAACCAAAATCATGAGATCGTATGTTAACAAAGTTTGTTTGTTTTTTGGTCGATCGGTAATCGGTAATGATCGAGAAAAGGGATACCATGCATAGACATATAACTATAAATCAATTACTTGTTTTTGCTTAAGGTAATTATTTTCTTGAAAACAATTAATACCAAGGATCTCTTTTCATTTCTAACACAAAAGGCATGATACATTTATAAAGTTTTCTTCGAAAGGTAGCATCTGGTCCTTATAAACGTTACGGCATATATTATTGTCAAATAGACAGTAATAGCAATAATGTCTTTTTAGGAATTGATATAAGAGGTTATAAATCTATATGTTATGAAATATTCTTAATCATTATCAACAGTAAATTGTATTGTTTTCATAATAATATGGTCGATTCAAGAAAAGAGTTGTAACATAGAATGTCACTGTTATTTAACAAACATGAATATTGTACGTAAACAGAATTAACTTTTCCGGATTAAAGTACATTCAAAACATTCAAACCAAATTTATTTGCAAGCTCAAGATTTCTGAATATGATTTAAATTTAATAATTATCTTCCTTTTTGACACACCTGAGACTGACACATGAGACGCAATTTAGTATCACAAAATCAGTTTTGCAGATCCTATTACGTTTAGAAAAAAAATGTAGAAAACGCATCGTAAATGAAACCGTGAATATATCGTAGATATCTGTTATTGAATATTAAAATCTAAGTAATTAGGTTTCAATAAAACAAAGTTTCTACAAATATACTAATATTAAAACAAAATAATTTTATTTCACTGTAAGTGAAAAGGGGATGATTTTATGCGGTCTTGTTGCGTGTCAAATTAACACACTGAAATAAAAGCTAAAGAATATTGTTACTGGGGGGGAGGGTTAAGAACAATCTGACTATAGTGCAGATCTACTTATTTCTTTAACTCATATATGTGAATCTGAAGACGACCGTATATGTGTCACCTTCTTTATAATTCGGATTTCCCGAGAAAGCTATTTTAGCCACGCAACCAAATAGGTTTTTACATAGGCATAAGAAGTATCAACATACCGTTATGCGTGAAGTTAAACAAATTGTCTAATTTTGTAAGAAAAAATAAGTTTGAAGTAATTTTTAATTACTTGAAAAAAATACAGTCAATTTTTAATGGGCAAGATTTTTTCGCCAGTTTACCTGTCGGCTATATGGACACGGCATGTTGTTTTAAAATTTGCCAGGGTTAATATTAGAAACCACATCGCTTTCAAAATTATGAAAGCTCTCCGATGATTGGTGTGTGGATAGACACGAGAAATAATTAATTTTGTATATGGTCACGCTCAGATCTAAAAAGGTAGCGTTATTTAGAACTCATTTTAATCAGATTGGGTTGAAGAAATACTGAGGAACAACACTAAGTAATATGATATGAATTTTTATTGGTAATATAACACACTATTAAAGGCACACTGTTCTGAATTGATATTGTAGCTAACTTTTTACCGAGAATATACACATATCTTGATATATGTTATATGATATTTATTTTATTATTACTCCCTGGCCATGTAGATAAACGTTCTTTGCTGGTTACCAACTAAGTAAAGTAATTATACATGTAGTGATTTAGTATTTTGTACGAATAATACTCTTATTCCAGACTAAATGATTCATTGTCACATGATCAGCATTCCGTGTGCTTTAAATTCATTACCTTAACATGATAAAATAAGGGGACGCTTTTGGGGATGAAGAAAAATTATGAATATTCTTACTATTTTCTTTCATTTTTTTCCCTTTTGGCCTTTTATTGAATTTAATGTGTTTGTTTTAAACTTTACATAGAATTGTCTACAAGTCAATATAAAATGATAAATATAGTAAACGAATAAGCATGCATGCTGAATACTAAACATTAAGATGCAATAAAAGTAAAAGAATGTGAGTAAAACTGTGTCAAATGCGCAAAATTAGGACAATAAGCAAGAATTTCTTTAGTTAATCTTCTTCATAAACTGTGATGTAATTTGACGTAATGAAATGCCATCAACATAGTTAATATATTATGATTGCGGTTCGCAATGGTTTTATTGGTATGTACCACTCTGTTTTGCATTTCCTCTGTTTATCTCATTCCTGACGTCAAAATAAATGCACTGCCGTGCAATGCCATATTACGAAGTCGCACAAATGGCACGGGTATGAGAAACTACACGGGTATGAGATAAACATGAAATTATAAACCTTGAATCTGCTGAATCTGTGTTATGTGCTTTGTATTTTAAATAGTCTATTCAAAAGTTTAAGGGCGTTCAGAATTCTAATACAAAAATGAGCTACCAACAGTTTAACGCTTGATACAAAATCTTAACAGATGTGCACTTATTGTTCCAACAGGGAAATGACTATTACATGAGATAACCTATAAATGTAGTATAGAACAATACTGATGATAATGATTTGATAAACACAATTCCTTTTGCATTTCTTATTTATCAAGTCAATACAAGAGAAAGCCACTGAATGTGGTTCGGTAACCAAAGATGATGTACTGTTCGCAAGTACTCGCTGTTCCCACCAGCACTTTCTGGCCTTTGTTGAAGTAATTGATATAGACATTTCCACCAGATCCGAATTGTTTGTCATGCCTTGGGTCAGCAACTGCTGCTGCTACTGACTTTCCATCAATAAACAAAGCAACGATAGCATCCTGACATGTAAAACTATCATCTCCTTGATGCCAGCTTTCAACAAAGAAGATAAACTGGTACACACCAGCAACTGGGACCGTGAATATTCCAGTTGATTCATTGAATCCTTCGCCATCATTGTAAGACACCTGTCTGAATGGAATGGCAACACCTTTTTTGAAAATAGATGCAACGTGACCTTCTTGGGGCTTATACTGAGCAGAGAAACTAATTTCTTTTCCTGCAAAAAAAGTTTGTAAAAAGCATTAAAATAACATTTCCAAACAAAATTCATTTTTGAAGCTGGCTTGTTTAATATAAAGGATAAACAAGATAAATTACAACGTGGATAGTGATATTACTTTTAATGAAATTAAAAATATGAAATTCTGTTACACTATAAATTATATAATATGTTCAAATGATTCTGGTTTATATCGAAATCATAGTAGCAATGTTTATGAATTAGAATTTAACTTTTACTAAGGTAAATTATGTAACCATACCTGATGAAAGAATCAGTGACGACATGCTTGTTTCCAATGTATCTATCCGTTTGTCAATACTTTCCGACTTTGTCTTAATTGTTGCAAGCCTGCTTTCAAAACCTTCGCTCTTTGATTTGACGGAATCTAATGTCTTTCCAATCAACTCAACTTGTCTTGAAAGATTGGATGTTATACTCGTCTGATGCTCAATTTTCTTTTCAAAGTCTTTAACTGCACCCCCATTGCTGGCTGTTTTTGGCAGAATTACACCTTTATTTTCCAATGTTTTCTCCAATGAAAGTACCAAATTTCGCACGTACTCCTTTTCTGATGAGATTGCCCTTTTCATTGCTGAAAAATCTTCCTCCTTCTTGGATATGCCGGTCTCCTGAATATCTTCAATACTTTTTAAAAGTTCTTTACAGCACTCATTACTGTCATGTTGAGGTACATTTTGTAAATGTTCTATGCGTTCCTCTATTTCCTTCTGTTTACGCCTAACTTTTAAAAGCTGTAATGATTGGGTATTTAATCTACTGTTAAACAGTTCAAACACCAAATCATCTTCCATCTTGATTGAGTTCACAAGTGCAAGAACCAAAAAAACTTTGGAAATCATTTCCATTTTGTTGTGTAAACAAAGCAACACCGATCACTGAAATAAACCGTAGAGGGTGTTACTTATATCTTAAATGCATACTAACATAACTTATGAAAAGGGGCGTTAAGTTAGTAATTATAAAGCAACTATGTCATCCATTTACGCATGGAGTTATCACAAGTTTAAGTATGTATTTATCAAGGACGAAAATATCTTTGAAACAAATACTTGATTCAATCCGTATTAGACGCAGAGTTTTTAAATCAATAATAATAAATGCTTACCATTTACGTTAATGATTTCTTTAGTGTAGATGTTATTATTATTTTTTTTATTATTCTCCTTGAAGATCGATCAGCACGACATAATTTTTGTATGTACGTGTTTAATGTGTATTTAGTTCATTCTTTTTTATCTTTGGATGATTGATATCAGTATTCCTAATTGAATATTGTTAAATCACCCTAAGGATGCATTTGTATGTTGCCCGCATTTTAAATTTGTCTGTTGATGCCTTATCTGTGATATGCCAGCTTCATAACCTACCTCTGATCCCCTGACAAAGTTCCGCTTTGTTTCCACACATTGTTTTCTTATTTAGAGCACATGCGTTCTTTTAGCTGAGGCCCAAACGAGTCTGCAATGTTCATATTATTTTAATTTTAATACTTTAATAGTTTTTTACTGTATAAAACAAAATGTATTTGGGCATCTATCAAAATGTTACTCTGGTCGTTACTTTGGCATTCGTTAAATGGCAAATTGTATGATACAAAAAAATTACAAAAGGAAAAAGATTAGCCCACCAGAAAGTATCCTGAGTAGCCTGCCCCGTTGGCTCAATGGGGGAGATAACAATATTTGTTATGCAGAGGGTCCCCGGTTTGATTCTTGGTCAAGGCGAAATTTGCTCGTGATATTGATCATGTGAGGTTAGTAGTTCGGTCAAGTGCGAAATAAAATTAGAAATTACTGGTTATGTGTATCGACTGCCGTTATATTACCAGTCAAATGTTAAAATCAGATAAAAACTATAAATAAACAGTGTCATAAACATTGTTCTCAATCATCAATGTCATACATTCATGCCGTATATTTGAAAAGATATTGAACGTCTTTGCACCGCTCAAGCCGGTACTAGGGGGCGTGAGAGATGTTGCACGTAATCATTATCCCTCATGTACAGACTCAATCAAACCGGGTCTGCAATTCTTATGTCATTTTGTTGTGATTAATGCTTCCGGGGCATCACATTGTTTCCGGATATTTTTTGCTATTCTTATAGCTGTAACCAAGAAAATGAAATAAATACAACTATATTAGAGCAATAATTATAGCTTGTTCCCGCTTTAACATGTTTATTATATCATATTATTTTGGTAACATTTCGCACTTGAACATCTTTGCATTTTTTAATCTTTGTACCTTGACAAGAGTTTGGTCTTGACATTTAGATAAGTGGTTAATTTTCATTGTTCATACCAACACTTAAAGCTCTTATACGCAACACTTACAACTTTACATTCAGGAAGTTTGTAAGGCTCGTTTTTGATAAGATAAAAATAGCAAAATGTGTCTGGGATGATGTTCTGTGTATTTAGTAGGTTAAAAAAAAGTAATAGTTAGACATATATAAGAACAAGAAGTATCTTTAAAAAAAGTAAAACTGGTTAACTTGCTTATGTTAGTTCTTAGTTTTCCATGCAAAATCATATAGAAATGTTAGCATAACTAGCATAACATTGACATAATAATTTTTGTAGGGTTATTAATCTTGCTAAAAAAGAACACTTTCAGATGTATGTGTTTCTAAACAAACCAGTCAAGTTTCGGTAAGGGAACACAATTTCTTACACCAAAATCTACGCAGTCGATAAGGCATTTTTTACTTTTATTATTACTTGATTTATATGCAAACATATACAAGAATTATATCAATTGAACACATCAATAATTATATAAAATATCAGATTCTTTTTTAAACAGCATAAACCTAAGTGTACCTGATAATTTCTGATATTATTTTCATTATTTTGAACACGATTTAAAAACTCAGATCTTGTGTAAAAAAACTCAATAAGTTATAAGATGCGTTGACTCTGCCATGCATGTCGATCCCGGAATAAGTACAATAGATAAACAATGTAACATTCAATACGCATTTATGTGCTTTACGTACAAACTTTAATGCCTGAAATATACTTGTTTCATAGTTTGGGACCTCTCTATTAAAATTGTGTCAGAGTTAAATCGTATACATATACATTGCACACTGCGTTAACTGGAGTACAGGTATGTGTTACCCGTACTCAACAGCATGCCCATTGATTGGCTCATTTCTTTTTTTAAGGTTTATCTTGGTGACGACAGGGAAAGGGATAGTGATAGAAATATCATATTCAGATGCTCATTCATTGACACTTAATGGTCAAATTGTTTGCAAAATGTTTTTAGCCTAGAACGTTCTTAATTTTTTACCTCCTGAGTTTAAGCAATTATAAATAAACTTGTCAAGTATCAAATTAATGTCTGAAGTAAATATGATTTAGTGTTGACATTGTGATGATTTGATCAATCAGAAAAGATGTATATCGAGGTAATATAATATATGTATCTCAGATGTGCATGTTTGCAGAGAGCCCACGAACGTTTATGTGCTCATGATTAACAGGAAACTAGAAATTAGAAACTTATTGAAATAAATGTCGCTTTATCTAAGAAAACTGATATATTCCTGCTAGAACTATTGCAAAAATAATTGAGCCGTGCCATGACAAAACCAACATAATGGGTTTGCGACTAACATGAATCAAGACCAGCCTGCGCCTCCGCGCAGTCTGATCAGGATCCATGCTGTTCGCTATCAGTTTCTGCACTTGCAATAGAGATCATCGAACAACATGGGTTCTGATTAGACTGCGCGGATGATCTGGATCCATGCTGGTCGCAAACCCATTTTGTTGGTTTTGTCGTGACGCGGCTCAATTATGTTTGTTGCGCTGAATGTAGAGGACAAATTTAAAAAGTTCGGGTCAATTAAAGGAGTCAAAATAAGTAGTCGAACCGAAACGACTTTGTCTGCGTATTTAGTTATAAGAAATGCGGCCTGATTTTCATAAATGCCATGAAAACAAGAGAAAATTGATAGAGTAAATCATCATTTTTGTTTTAGAAGTGACAGGCGACACGATCCACCTAGAAGTTTATAGGTCCTTAATTTTGCCATGTCTAGGGACCAAATGTCTTAAAATTGCTCTTAAATATGAATTAGGCAGGCAAAAACGTTTAAAGATAAACTATGCTCAACCATGATATTAGAAAATATTGATATTTGCTAGACATATAAGATAAACTTGATACAAAGTAGATATGTTATGTGCACACACTATACACTTTAAGTGAACACACTAAAAATATATATTGACATTAAAAAAAAAACTGGCAATTTTGTTAAGAAGGGTCAGCATTAATTGGCCTATAATAAGGAATGCAGACTCCAATACATAGTTCGTACGTTCTTTTATTTAAATAACACATATATAAAATAAGAAGTTTATAGATTTCAATAAATTTCGAATAAAAATATTTTACACAAAGGTGAGTACAGAATATTTTTAAGAAAATGAGCCGATTAGGACAATGAACAAACACCGTTAATAAGCTTTTGTATACAGGGAACCTGTTCGGTTTAGTATTCTGTAATAGAATATATAGTCCTTTAAATGATACAAAACGAGTAGTTGACACCTAAATCTATGCGAGTGCATTATATATAACAGTTGCTGAGTTTTTCATTGTCTTTATTATTATTATTATTATTATTATTATTATTATTATTATTATTATTATTGTTATTATTATTATTATTATTATTGTTGTTGTTATTATTATTATTATTATTATTATTATTATTATTATTATTATTATTATTATTTATTTATTTATTTTCATAATAAGTCTTTAACATGAAATAAACGAAGCAGAAGCGATATAAAATGAAGACCACATCTTTAAAATGATGACATCGACGCTTTTACATATTCCCTGTTAGTGTAGATTTCTTGAACAATGGTTTCATCTAAGGGATGAAAATATTAAACCTTTAAGCGTTACTTTATAAAGTACATCGTTAATGAAATGGGAGACACTCTATTATAATCCAAGTTATAATAGGAAAATGCCCGCAGCCGAACTATATCAATATGTTGTTTTTGTTCCTTTTCTCTTTCTTTCTCTCTTTTATAAATTCTCCAGTAATTTCTATAATAAATATTTTTGAAGTATATATTTATATACAAAATCAATATGCAAATATAACAAAAAAGGTGTGTATTTAACCCACAAAAGAAAATTACAATGTACTTTTAGTAAGGCGCTGCATTGACAGAAAAAAAACACCTTATCATGCCTTTTGTTTTAATGCTTAAATAGAATGCTGGTCTCCTTAAATAACAATTACAGTCTAACCTGGCTAAGGACACCGCTCACGGGATAAGTGGACTCTTACGAGCGGTTCCTCATAACAATGGCCTATGTTTGTGCCGTATTAATGGAAAATATCAAATTATCTTTTATGCTTATGTATAGAAGTTTCATACATGTTAGCAAAAAAAATGCTTATTTAAAGTGTTTAGAATAAGTATTTAATAATATGAAAAGTTAATCTGGGTGGTAATATTAAAAAGATATTTGGAACATAAATAAGACTTTTGTTTAGAATAATTTTTTTTAAATGTGAATGGCACTAGCTTGATTAGAACTACTTTATATACTCATTTTTTCCTGTTATTTAAATCATCCCGACTTATGCCGTTTTCATGACAGACGACAACTTCTTTAGAAACTCATTCCTATATCTCAAGATTTTAATCCGGTGCTAAGAGGCATGTAATGGTTTTACAAGACAATGTATCTTGTAAAAACACGCAATAAAATCGAGTCTGCAATCGCCACACACTTTGCTTTGTATTCATCGCTTTTGTAGAATCTAGCAATCGTGTTTTAACCCCTTCAAGTTTGCCTATATTCAAGTTTTTTCTAAATCAAGCTCATACATT